TAATCAATCCTGCATTTCCATAATAGATCTTCACTTGACAGCCTGGCACAGCTGATCAGCATAGTGGGCAGTAATGACCCATGATTACTTATGTTCTATTTAATAGTAAATGTAATAAGTTTGGAGCTTTGCCTTAGCATAGTTTTACAGACTGCATGCTAGGGTTTAATAGTTCATATTTTGTTTAATAGCTAAATGCCCTGCTCAGCTGAATTTTACTGTTGACATCATTAAGCTATTTCTAAAAATAGACTGATTTTATAAAGACTGAAAGTGGTATTGAGCTATTGAACAAAAACAATTGTCTTTCACCAGCGTTAATAAGTAGTTGTCCTAAATTCAAGTATCATACAGTGTTGTGTTAAATTTCACAGGGTTTTTAGAATGAAGACACGAAACAATACATATAGAAATAGGAAGATGAGACTGGATATTCTTTCTGATGTAATTTCTACATGATATATATTTTACTGCATGTTCTCTGTTAGCTTCCCATAAACACACTTCTATACAAATAAAGTCTACTTTAACCTTTCTTGGTACTGTCCAGTATCCTATCTCCTTCTTAAGTTAAACGGTTGTGTATAATTCCTATTGCTACCCTTCATTTTCTTGGTTTTAAATGATACTATTCTATTTTATTATATATGTAGTACAAATGTCTATTACTTGCATCACCTCAATAACATTCAATATTTTCAGTTAAACCGGCAAAGTCTCTTCTTTAATACAAGCTCTTCTACATCAGTTGCTCCACACATGCAATCTTTTAAAACTTGTATTCTTTTTGCTTTTGTGGACGGCTTTCTCAGCCAATATGTTTCCTTGTTAAAAGATCTCAAACATTATATATAATTCTAAGTATTGCCTCTGTGCCTTACAGAAATATTGCAGAATACAGTATTCCTGTAACAATAAAACATACCCTGTTGTCTGTTTTACTATAACTAAGGCTATGATTTAGTCACGGGTATTTTTTAGTAAAAGTCACGGACAGCTCAAGGGCAATAACCAAAAAGTCACGGCCAGTGTGCTCCAGCGGACACTGCTCCTCCTGGCGGTGGGGGATGGCCCAGGGCCCTGCAGATGCTGCTGCTCCTGGCGGGGAGGGGGCATGGCCCGTGAGGAGCTTGCCGCACATTCTTACCCATTTTTATATAGGGTTTCCTTTAGGATAATCCTTTCACTTTCCCTATAATGTAATCCCTTCTGAATGGCTCCCTCTTTATGGTGACTTGAACAGACACATCACAGGTGTTGCCTTTTCACACACACACCCCCAAACCCTTGTGCAACAAAAATGCTTAATCCATTCCATGGACTATATACAAATACATGTAGTCTGGACCTGTTAGCTTTTGGCTCAAACCAACAACAGGCCAGAGAAGTTCTCATGCTGAATCTCATGAGGATTGGAGGTAGAAAAAGAGTATTTTTTGGCTGGGGGAATACAGATATGTTGAAACAAGCTATGAGGAATCTAATAGAGACTTAGTTTTTCTCCACAAATTTTCTTTCTGATAGTATATTTTGAAATCTCTGAATTTAGAAAATGTGTATTTCATCACTATTACTTTGCTCAAGATGTATTTCATATTTAGTTGCATCTAACCAAATATTTGTCCATGTACTTAGCTTCTTGATGTTGTCATGGTATCTGAATACATTAGTGATGTGACAGCTCACCTGCCCGGTGCCATGAATCTAAATTTTCATTTTTTATTACACCAGTTTAAGTATTCCTCCTTTGTTTTCCTTCCATTTTCCTGTTTTCTGTAAAGAATACTATATATGAAGATTTAGGAGAAGAAACCTCAAACTGTCATGTACAGAGCAAAAATATGCCAGGGAATATAGAGGTTGGGTCTAGCTTTATTACACTCTATTCTGATTTCATTACCTTCCAAAACTGGTTTCTAATAATATCCAGATGACTACCCTTACTTGAACTTGTGTGTCATTAGTCTTCATGCTGTATACAACGTAAGTACTTACATATACACTATGGTACACTTAAGAATGATTAATTTCATACTTTCATCAAAATCATGTAAGACTAACTTCAAATGCATGGTATCTGTTAGCACTAAACACTGATAAATATATAGTATATGCCATTGTTAGCTGGTGGTGTTTTTGCGTCATCTCACTTGTTAATGATGATGCTAATTTGAGTTAGATACCTCCAGAGTTTTTTAAATTTTATATATAAGAATCTGACATTTCATCTTTCACTTTCAAGTCTGCTTAAATATAAAAGTTTTGAGTTATTTTCCATATTTTTATTAGAAAAAAATTAAAAAATTTAAAAACTACGTGGGATTAGGCTATAAAATACTTTTTCAACCATTATCTTTTAAAAACATTCTGGAGTTATGCTGATAATTACCCACCTCGTCTTCTATCTGCCATTAGTATATGGAATTGTTCAGAATTAATTTTCATAAAAATTAGACACACGTGGACAAGAAAAAGCAAAAAGACACAATCTAATGTAGGCTGAATAGTCAACACGTTTAAAATTGCTACATCTTGTTGAGAATATTCTCTGGAGTCAAAATGGCCGTCTCCTAAAAGGAGACCAAACTATTTGTTTTTGGTTTTTTTTAAACTTATCTTTATATATTAATAAACTACAATTTACATAGGATGTACCCCGAGGAGTGAAAGTAAATTTAAAATCTCGAGCTCTCTCTGCTCCTTCTGCAGCAACATTAAATTCACATACCCTATTCTCAGAACTGTTCAGGTATCTTTTGTGCCAATTCAGTAGACAAACACCTATTTACTAGAGCTAGTCAAGAAAAATTTCATGAACATTTTTTGTCTGAATTTCTGACCATTGAAATTGGAGCATTCCACAGGACAATGTCAATTTTTGATGAAATTCCACTGAAAACTGGGTAGGTTTCTGATGGAACTCTGTGTGCAAAGCAAGTTTCAAAAGTTGCCTGGTTTCCTACCAACTCGCTTGCTCATCAGCCTGAGCTCCTCTGCTCCTCAGCAGCCTAGCTGGCTGGCTGACAGAGAACCTGAGTCCCAGCACCGGGGCTTCCGGGGTCCAGGGCAACCTGCCATGTGGACTGCCCAGGAGGCAGGACTTATAAAGCTGGGCAGAAAACAGTAATTCCATTTCCCTAAATATTTGAAATTTTGGGGGGTTGTCACAAATAGGAACAAAATACAATTTAGAAATCTTGAAATCCTCTGTGAAACAGAATTATCATTCTCTGCCTAGCTATGTTTACTTTCAGTGTATCTGTTCAAGCAATGTTGGGGGACCAAATAGAAAAGAAATACCTGCTAAGTTGCTAAGAGGGGCATTGCAAGTATGAGAAGGTAGGAGTTGGGGGTTTTAAAGGAAAACATTATCCCTTTGAAATAAAAATCACATTTTTAATAATAATGTTATTTTTGTAGAATTACATTTGTTTAGTGTTCAGAGTAACAGCCGTGTTAGTCTGTATTCGCAAAAAGAAAAGGAGTACTTGTAGCACCTTAGAGACTAACCAATTTATTTGAGCATGAGCTTTCGTGAGCTACAGCTCACTTCATCAGATGTAGTGAGCTGTAGCTCACGAAAGCTCATGCTCAAATAAATTGGTTAGTCTCTAAGGTGCTACAAGTACTCCTTTTCTATTTGTTTAGTGCAAGGTAAAGTAAACTATCAAAATCTGTTCTCAAATAAATTTTATTTCTTTAGCCTTTGTTCTTTTCAGTTCTTTTAAAAACCATAGTGTTGTATTTCTAACCTCCAAGCTAATATATACCATATTTGACATAATTTTATCTTCAAGGACCTCTTTCAGACCTAATTTTCTTCTGTTCTTTCCTTTATTCCCCTCTTTTACTGAATATAGTAACACACTGATAAACTGAACAATTTTTTGCTATGTCAAGTTTCATAAGCTACTGTGAGAACATACTCCTCTTTAATATGCATATTTCTATGAAGGATTTTTGTTTGATGCAAAAATTAAGCCATCAAAACTTGCATTGAAAATACATTTTGAAAAGATATGGGAGCAGCAAATATTGACAGGTAACTTAATGTTTTGTAAAAAATTTGATGTTGCTTAAGACAGTTTGTAACTATTTTTAATGTCTAAAATGTCACGCTGTTCTTAATTTTGATTCTTGTCTAATATAATACCAGCTGTTATCAGGCTCTTCATCAGTAGAGTTCAAAGTACTTTACAAAGGAGGGCCAGTATCATTATCCCTTTTTTACAGATTGGGAAACGTAGGCATGAAGAGGTGAAATGACTTGCCCAAGGTTACCCAGCAGGCTAGTAACAGTGCCAGGAACAGAATCCAGTTGTTCTGAGTCCCAGTCTAGTGCTCTACTAGGTTACACTGCATCTGAGTGTATCATTATTAATTCTTCTTTCCTACAGTGCGTTTGTTCTCATTCCCATTACTTGATTCTTGCATACTGATTGTTTCCTGTTAATGGCTATAAAAAAAAACCAGAACATTAATAGATCACTATTCTATTATCATTCCTGTTACATTTTGTAGGGAGGTACTCTTTTATAGAGTCTAAATGTGTTTATAAAAAAATTCATTCCACACTCGCTGAGCATATTTGGGGTTATAACATATGTTATAATGTGGATGGTTAAAATTAGGTTTACGTGGTTGAAAGATAACCTACAAAATCATCCAGAAGAGACTTAAAACAGTCTGATCATGTGAATTGGACTATGTGTAGAACCTGCAGTCTACTAACTACAAAATGTAATACAATAAATGTAATGGCATATATTATTTAAAAAAAAATCTTTTTACAAGTAATATCTATAGTTTAATATTACAGTGTTCTAAAGTCAAAAATAGTTCTTTTTTTTTGCCATCTGCAGCCATGGAAATGTGTACTGTGTTTTATTTACCCCTAAATGAGCATTCAAAGATCTTGTAAAATTTAAGACTGTTAATACATACCTCTGAAATGCACATAGTCTGAGCCTGGTAAAGTGCATAACTTTCTTCTCCTTTAGAATGAAGTCACCCTGCTGAGAAATGAAGTGGCACAGCTGAAACAGCTTCTTCTGGCTCATAAAGATTGCCCTGTAACCGCCATGCAGAAGAAATCTGGCTATCAGAGTGAGTAATGTTCCATTACCTATAGCCTTAGGCTGCAACAGTGAAATACTGCCAAAGTGAACTGAGCAACCATTAAAAATGAGAAGTGCAGTTATAATATTTAACATTTAATATATAAAATTCTGCAAGCTTATTGCAAGACAGGAATGAATATATGATATTTTGCAATTATTTTTCTAAATGCTTTCAGTTTAAAAAATGTTGTAGATTATCTGAAGTTTAAAGATAGTTTTGGTTGGTTTTTCTATGCGTATATACCCAAAATTAATACTAAAGGACTCTAAGCTGCAATAGCTGCTTCTAGTATGTATGATTAAAGTATTGACAGTATATGGTGAACAATCTCTGTAATGCATTATCTTAGGTAAGATGAAAGGTCCTTGTTTCTTCCATTTCATAATGAGATTTCCATTGAGGGGAGGGTAACAGCTGTCCTTATTTACTAGCACATCCAGGATCAGTCAACCCATTAAAATAATCAGATGCAGGTTCCTGGCTCTTACTGTATGCTGTCCCTGAGATTGTTTTGACTTAAAATAACTGTTGTTTGTCATACGAATTTAAGATGTTTTGAATTTTTAAAATAGGATTCTAATAGTGAAGGGCTTACTGAGAATTCTCAAGTTAAACTGAAATCAGTAAAACTGTAAAATAAAGTTTGTTATTCACTTAATTTTTCACATTTGAAGCATTTTAGAAGTTAATTATGCTTTTCTTACTTCTAACTTCTTTTTTTGGATATGATGCACAGAGCTAGAACCAGCTGCTGTTTTAGAATAAATGGCCAATTTTGTCCATTGTACACAAATTCGTAACAAATAACTGAGCTGGGAATGCATTAGGCAACATTCATAATATATAACCCACAGCTTTCGTTTTTATGATTTAGTGATATTTCAGGATATTTGTAAATGTGAAGATTGTTTCAGCCATATGTAGCCACTTCGTTTTAATTTGCCAGTGTCAGTAATTCGGGAGAATAAAGGAACATTTTGTATTGCATGCAAACAGTTCCTCAGGTGCTTGCGATAAAACTTAATGGCCACCATCTTTACTTGTAGTCATTGTAAGCAGTTTCATCAGAATGGGCAATATTTTTTAATTTAAAAGATTCAGGAGATTTAGCAACTCTCTGTTGCCATATATATTTAGAACACTGATTTTGTCAGTTTGAGCTTATAAATCTTAGTCCTTTGATCTCCAGTCATTTTGACAGGATGGAAAATAGCATCTTGGAGTAAATTGGAACCATATAGAAATATGTTCGGGATTTATATTAACAATGATTGCTGCAGGAATGAAGCCATTATGGCTCCCATCTGACAGAACAACATAATTTCATATAGAAGCTACTAGAAGATACCATTATGCATGCACGGTTTTCCTAAACAGGCTAGGTTTCTTGAATTTTGCTAGTTTGAAGATACATGTGTTTCTCTGGATTTGCATGAAAAATTATTAAACGTATGCATTTTTTAAATAGACTGGCAGATAATTCCAAATTAAGGATTTTTTTCATTAAAATTCTAAAAACTAAATGTTTAGTAATACTGTTGACCTTCATACTTGCAAAAATGCTACAGTATTTATAAATCACTGCAGATCTTGAAGTTCTTAGGCTTGTCTTCATTATGAAAGACAAAGTAAAACTAACTCACTACTAACCAGAACAGAGAATGTAAAGTTGATAAAATATCTATTTTTGAAAAAAGGAACTACATTTTAAAATAAGTATAAAAAGATGTTCAGAAGGGAACGTGCAGGCATAGTTCACTTAGTATTTTTTTAAAGCCTTTGGCACAGTGCCACACAAAATAATGATCTACAGGATTAGTATAATGAGTAATATGGTGTGGGGGTGATCTAGGTACATGTAAGTAGATAAAGAATGCGCATACACACCAAACTCATCTCTCTCTGTTTAAGTGTTATGTCCAAAGCACTTCACAATATCTCTGAGAGAATTAAATAATATCTTAATTTTACAGATATTGGGGCAACACACACACAAAGTGACTTGTGCAAGACTATATGATGAGTCATAGCAAGTACCAATTAAAATGGTTTTAGTTAATGTTTGTGGTTGTGGCATGAATAGAAAATAACTTCAAATCTTTAAAAAAAAATTAACAAAGTTATGTCCTATGTACATCAGCAGCATGACCATGTTAGCTGAACTTTTTTAAAAAGTATTAAATAGTTTCTTATCATCTTGTGTGGTATAAAAGAGGCAGAATTAGAATACTCCTGCAGTGCAAGGTATTGTGTGCTGCTGGGACTCAGTTAATTTATATCCTGCGGACATGACTTTAACAATTCGGTCCACAATTTAATGGGGTTTCACTTAAAACGCACTTAAACAGGCAGAAGCAAACAATGGCATTGCAGGATTTTTTGACATTTATTTAGGTATCTTTAAAAGATCTTTTGAACAACTTCTGCTTCACATAGAGTGAAAAACACGAGTACTAGGTCCCTCTTTCTTACTAGCATTTTCCAGTTACTTTAAGTACCTTTCACCTGCTTCTGAGGCGAGAAACCAGAAAAGGCAAAAAGAGAAGTGATTACATTTCATGAGGCTGTTTGGAGGAAACCCTGAAGCAATGTAAGAGTTGTCAGTCACGTATAAATTCATGTCATTCCCAAGCAGATATGCTACTGGTCAGTTGTTTAGGAAATTTCTTGAACAAGCCCTTAAACAAAATTTTTAAATCGTATGTGTAATCTACAAGAGAAACCTAAACCCTATGTTTTCTATCTATAGTCCCATCTCGGACCCAGTTTCAGGAATACGCTGCTGCTAAGCCTATATAGTCTCTTAAACTTCTTCTTGGTGTGGAGGATGGGGAGAAATGAGGGAGGATGAATAATCTTGAAGGGGCAGAGGGTAGTTGGAGAATTGTAGGTGTGAGGACATTACTTCTCTTTGTTAGTAAAGATTCAGGAAGCTTCCAGAACGCTAGATGATCGCATTTGAATAAAACTTAATAAAAATAGGGATTGTAATTGAGTCATGATTGAATCAAACATTTTTTGATTCCTGCTCTAGTTAATTGTAAAGAAACAATTGGGGTCCCGCCATTACAATAATTATGTAAATCCATTGCCTACAAATTGTTCAGGATAAGTCAACCCTTTCTGTGATTTAGCCACCACCCTAGAGAATTTTCTGGCTACTGTAGAATTGCCTAGATGTTGACCTACATATTCCCATAGTCCCCTTGCGCCCTCAGTATCTGCTTTTATCTCTGGAGACTTCATCTTCAGTATTGCACTCTGCACTTGACTCTGTCCGTTCTGTGCATTTGCACCAACCTTATGTAAGCTGTCACAACTGTGTGAATAACTGATTTTTTCGGTTTGCTGGCATTTCCAGAAAAAAAAAAGCAGCAAATGAAAAATTCGAAGGAAAAAAAATGGGAAAGAGTGAAGTGTTTTGTTTGACCCAAAACATTTCACTTTTGAGCTTTATCTTTTAAAAATAAAATTGAAGGAAATCTAAAACAAAGTCATTTCAAATAGAAAAATCACAATTTTCATTTAGAAAATATGAAAATGTTGGTTTATATTTTCAGATTTTTTTTGAAAGAATTTTTCAACTAAAACAATATAGCAAAATTCACACATTCACTAAATGTTTTGATTGACCCAAATCTCCAGGTTTGGTCAAAAAACTTCAACCAGCTCTAGTCAGACTACACCTTTGGCAGAAAGTGTTCGCAATTTTTTCCCATTTGGATGTCTGACGAGTGTGTAGCAATACTTTCTAGTGTACCCAGAAGGCATTCGCCCATACTTCGAAGCTTGTTGTAAATTTCTTCAAAATACCCTACTTCCAACACATTCTGGTCTACGTGGTAGCCCACTTCCAAAGTGCGTGGGCAGAGCCCTCCTATCTATGAAGAAGACAGTCAAAATGAAGCAAGCCTTACAAGAATTGTGAAGTCACCAAGACTGCAGTTTTTCCTGAGTTTTAGTTAGAACCCATCAAGACCACTGAATTTGGACAAATTTACTCTGTCAATGCCACTCTGTCATGGTGGCTTCCAGATTTAACTGTTCCTACATTTGGATCTCAAGATGCTGGCCCTGACAGCTGGGCACATAAAAGGTTAATTGTTCAATAGCTGTGTCAGAATGCAATTCTATCTTTTTTTTTTATACCCTGGGAAATTTCCCACCTCCATTTCTGACTTCAGATTTAGGAAAAAAAGTTTCCTTTGGTGTCGAGCAGTTCTCTAAGTGCACTATATTTCCACTGAGTAGAATTTTTTGCTCTTCAAAGGGAAGTTCTTAATTCCAGCCTTTGTCTGCGGGTGATATGAAGGACTCACCAGGCAGGGGACTCTGAAGTGTGAGCAGCAGAAGGAGCTGGTGTATAGGTTGAGGAGTTTCTGGGACTTTCAGTATTTTCAGTCAATGGGTGGAGCAGTAACAGCAGCACCTGACAGGGGAAGAAGAGGTTTGTCAGCTGGGAGTCCCCATTGTACATCCTTTTCTCCAGTGATGCTCCATCCACTACCTCCTTAGTCTCTCCAAGAAAGAAGGGACACTTCACAGCTCTCCTGTCAGTTTCATAAAATGTTGTTGTTTTTTAAATCTCTTCATTTTGTAAAATACAGGAAATTGCATTGAAGTTTCCATTATTTTTCAGGGACAAATCTCTAACCTCTTTGCATCTCTCTTTTTATTTGGTTTTACATCAATAGAGGTTTGTATACTGCTTGAAATGGGGTATGGAATACCAAGGATGTGACCATTACCAAATGGTGCACGCTGAATGAATAAACTCTCTCTCTCTCCCACCCTTCCTCCCTCCCTGCTCCCCACCATGGGTGGCTACAGCCCTGTTTAGGGACTTGAACAGCTTTTGAAGCCATTTGTTCTATCTCCTTTTTCTTTATCTTGCTGCATTCCCTTGCCACATGATCTTTTGAGATGTGTGAAAACAGCCACCAGTCAGTGAGCTTCCCCTCCTATCCTGATACCATTTCTGTCTCCTTTGATGTTTGAAGCATCCATTTAAAAAAAAAGAACAAAGTCCACAAAAACATGCTATCTAAATTAATAGGGATTTTGTAGCAGTCTGTTCCAAAAGGTCAGCACTGCACTCTTGAAATAGGACTCATTCCATAAACACCGTAAAAAACACCGTAATAGAGATTCAAACTAAATGTCTATCCCAAATTTAAAAAAAAAAAAAGTAAGACCAAAAAAAATGCCACCATGGATAAAGAGTGGAGAGTAAAAGTGGTGAGAAGCAAAAAGGCGCAGTTTAAAACCTGGAAGTCAGATCCTACTGAGGAAAATAGGAAGGCGCATAAACATTGGCAAGTCAAATGTAAAAATATAACATGTGAGGCCGAGAAAGAATTTGAAGAGGAACTAGCTAAGGACACAATTACCCTATTTGTTTAAATACATCAGAAGCAGGAAGCCTGCCAGAGTAAGTGGGGCTACTGGACGATTGAGGTGCTAAAGGAGCACTCAAGGAAGACGGCCATTGTGGAGAAGCTAAATGAATTCTCTGTATTGGTTTTCACTGCAGAGGAGATCCCCACACTCAAGCCATTCTTTTTAGGTGACAAGTAAGAGGAACTGTGCTTGACTGAGGTGTCAGTATAGCAGGTTTTAGATCACCTTGATAAATTAAACCATGTTAAGTCACCAGGACCAAATGGTATTCACCTAGAATTCTGAAAGAACTCAAATATGAAATTGCAGAACTGCTAGCTCTGGTATGTAACCTATTGCTTAAATCAGCCTCTGTACCAGATGACTGGAAGGTAGCTAATGTAACACATATTTTTAGAAAAGGCTCCAGAGGCAATCCCGGAAATTACAGGCTCGTAAGCTGAACTTCAGTGCAGATAATTGGTTGAAACTGTAGTAGGGAACGGAATGATCAGACACATAGATGAACATGATGTGTTGGGGGGGAAGAGTCAACACAGCTTTTGTAAAGGGAAATCCTGGCTCACCAATCTCTTAGACAAGGGTAATCCAGTTGACAGAGTACTTTAACTTTCAGAAAGCCTTTGACAAGTTTCCTCACCAAAGGCTCTTAAGCAAACTAAATAGTCATGGGATAAGAGGGTAGGCCTTATCATGGGTCAGTAACTGGTTAAAAGATAGGAAAAAAGGGTTAAAAATGAACAGTCAGCTTTCATGATGGAGAAAGACTAATAGAGGGTCCCCCGTGGATCTGTACTGGGACCTGTGCTGTTCAACATATTCATAAATGATCTGGAAAAAGGGGTGAACATGAGGTGGCAAATTTTGCCACCTCAATACAAAATTACTCAATTTAGTTAACTCCAAAGCTGACTGGGAAGAGTTAAAAGGATCTCACTAAACTGGGTGACTGGGTGAGAAAATGGCAGATGAAATTCAATATTAAATTCAAAGTAATGCACTTTTGAAAAAATAATCCCAACTGTACATTCAAACTGATGAGGTCTAAACAAGCTTTAATTACTCAAGAAAGCAATTTAGGAGTCATCATGGATAGTTTCCTGAACACATCTGTGCAGTGGCAGTAAAAACAAACAAAGCACCCCAAAACTAACAATGTTAGAAACCATTAGGAAAGTGATAATAAAACAGAAATATTATAATGCCACTTGAAAAATCCATGGTATTCCCACATCTTGAATTACTGTATGCAGTTCCAGTTGGTCCATCTCAAAAAAGATATATTAGAATTGGAAAAGATGCAGAGGACAACAAAAATTATTAGGGGTATGGTACAGCTTCCATGCAAGAAAAGATTAAGACTAGAGCTGTTCATCTTAGAAAAGAGACGACTAACGGGGGATATGACAGAGGTCTAAAAAATCATGAGTGATATGGCAGAAGTGAATAGGGAGGTGTTATTTAGCTGTGCACATAACACATGAACTATGAGTCATCTGATGAAATTAATAGGTAACAGGTTTAAAACAAACAGAAGGAAGTACTTCTGCCCACAATGTACAGTCAACCTATGAAACTCATTGCCAGGGGATGTTGTGAAGGCCAAAAGTATAACAAGGCTAAAAAAATTAGCTAAGTTCATTGAGGATTGGTCCATCAATGGCTATTATCCAACCCATTCTCTGAGTGTCCCTAAACCTCCAACTCCCAGAAGCTGGGACTGGATGACAGAGATGGGTCACTCAAAATTGCCCTGTTCTGTTCATTCCCTCTGAAGCATTTGGGCACTGGCTGATGTCAGAGACAGGATACTGGGCTAGATAGACCATTGGTGAGCCCCAGTATGGCCACTCTTATGCTGTTATACTAGTTAACATTTCTTTGGAATACATTTGCAAGGCTGCCTACTTGCATGTTTGTCTGACTTTGCTTCTATTCAAGCAATACTGTGTAAAACGGTTACTTTCTGTCTCTGAAAGTAATCCCTTCTTAGTGTGGATATAGGACTGCTATAAAGATCTCATTATGTTGTAGAATTGACTTGCTCATCAGTGAATTTTCATTCTTGCAACTGGTATTTCTGCACTGAAAAAACCTCAGCCCACAATAATCTACCTTCAAGGTTTTTTTGTTGTCCGTGCTAGGTTCTTAGTTATTATCGTAAACTTTGGTGTATCCTTCCTTGGACAGTGTTTGTTTGTGTCTTTGTTATCCTTTTTAGTTTTGGATTCAGTTTTTCTATGCATACCCTATTCAATAAAAATCTTTATTTTGATTGCGCCATTTTAGAATGGAGCTCTTTTCCTCCTTAACTTCTAGCCAGGTGTCCGTCTCCATTTCAGTTATTAAGTGCAAAAGTAAATGCTTTGGAAGTTGCCGCAGGAGACTCAAGCAACATTCCAGGAAGCTTGGGATGGTACCAAAAAATCTTGCAGTTAAATTTATCATTCAACTTTCCATTTTTATGTGAGCAAAAACCGGTTGTGAACTGAAATTACTTTACCTGAAAGATACCACTTACAGGTAAAAAATCTGAGTTCCTCAATTTATTGTCACTGGATAATAATGCCTGTTCAACAATCTGACTAATCAGAAATAGAGATTACACAATGGAAGAAGAGATTTAATTAAAACACTAATTAATTTACCAATTATCACATATAAACATAAAATAAAAGTTTGATGTCTAAACAATGTTCTCATCTAAATATATGTGTCTATCAGATAATCTATTAAGTGGATTTCACATCTCATATTGACTTCCTTATCTCCTAAAATGCCCCATATATATATGAACTTTCTCTGTTCTAAATGAAAGGATTGTGTTGTAAAATGTAACTGATGCATTTATTGAAAGAGTAATTCCTGTTAAATCGTGCCTCTGTTTTTAAAAAAAAAAAAAAAAAAAAAAAACTATATTTGCACAGGAAGAAAATTTTTTTGTTTTTTCAATACTTGGATTTTCTGATCAAAAAAATTAGGGACAGGAATGTTTGGGTAATTCATTTGAGTACTTCATTGATTCAGAGCAAGCCAAACAAAAGAAGTTCTTGGATGTCTTCTGATTTTTAAAGACTTTTATATCATACATTAATTAACTCTTATTGGCAGATATTTAAGTGCTAAGCAAAACAAATGGAATTTCACCCTGTTGAAAGAATGAAGATTTTGCATATTGAAAACTTTCTTGTCCAACTGAGCAATAGCAATTTACTGTATTACAGAGAGTGATTTTCATAAACATTATTAATGATCAAACTGAGAATGATTCTCTTGCTGAATTACTAGTCAAATGCAGTATCTTGTGGTTTTTAAAAAATCTGAATCCAATTAATTCACATAACTATAGAACAGCTGGTGGCATTTAGACTATAAATACTGTTTTTCTCATATGTGTGCATCATTAGACTCAGGTGTTGTAGTCATCAGTTCCTGCACTAGATGGAAAATCAACCAAAATTAACTGTGGTTTTAAATAGGTGGGAATAATCATTTGAAAATGTACCTGTGTCCATAAATATTCTAACCTTCTATCCTGGTTTTGTTTATCAAAAAATACGAACCAAGTTACCTGTTCATCTTTATATATATATATATAGCAATTATACTAAAAATAAATTTTTGAAAATGTCTTTGTATATGTGCTATTAATTGTGATTATTTACAGAACTCGTATTGTTAGCTGAACATTTTTTATGCATATTTTAGAAAAAACAGCAAGTGAATTTTTTTTCTTCAGCTGCAGATAAAGATGACAGTTCTGAAGACATTTCAGTGCCAAATAGTCCACATGCAGAAGCTATTCAGCATAGTTCTGTCAGCACTTCCAACGGAGTAAGTTCCACCTCCAAGGCAGAAGCCGTAGCCACATCCGTTCTCACCCAGATGGCGGACCAGAGTCCAGAGCCAGTGCTTTCACAGATCGTTATGGCTCCACCTTCCCAGTCACAGCCTTCAGGAAGTTGATTAAAAACTTGCATTGCAACAGTTTCTTAGATATACATTTGTGACTTTAAAGGGAAATCAAGACCAGTCTCCATCTAAAAAAATATGTAGCTTAAAATTACTCATTTTTAAAATTTAAATTTAAATTTGGCTTTAAAGATGGGCAGATGAAGAGGAGACTGAACAGCAGTTTCTAGTCTCCTTGCAGAAGATGGATTTTTTTTTTAAAAAAAAAGATGATTTACTAGTTATTTTCTGTGCTCAATGTGTAAAGTGTGTGTAAAGTACAATGTGGTTTATTTCACTTTTAATTTGGTATTATTTCAGCCAACTTTGGGGTGAATTATTAAAGCTCATCCCCAAGACTGTGATAGTAATATTATGTGACATTTTATACCAAAGTTCTGCATAGTCCCTATTGACTTTGTAATGTTGGCAAGGTCATAAAGCACTAGGCAAGAGAAAAAGACAGTAATAGTACATTTGCTTTTAGTCTTTTTGCCTTTTTATTGTTTTGCACATTATGAGAGAGAGAACATTGGGAGAAAATGTTTGCTTTGTATCATGTGTAGCATTTTGTTTAGCTTATTAACTGTTTTGTTTGGTTGGTTTTTTTTTTTTTTTTTATTGTTTAACAGGGCCAGTATGGTGTAGGGACATACAGTACTTTTGTGCACATACCTAAACTAGATGAGGGTCATTACTAACTAGATTTTCTTTAAAAACTGATGCCAATTTTTTCAACACTTTAATTTTAAAGCAGGAGCTTTATTTCTGCTGTCAAAACAATGGTCTACAACTACCCTTTGTTGGTAGGCTAGTAGAAAACAGTAAAAAGATATTGTACAATACAGGGTTATCAAATATGGAATACTTTTCATAGCTAGCTTGATACGTTGTGGATTTTTGAATCACAGACTAAGGAGTTTACTCATATACGAGTATGGATGCCAGAAAAGCCTAAAAAACCTTTGTTAAACACTTTTTCCCTTCTTCTTTATCATGGTCTTGTATTTGCAAGCTAACTTGTACTTAATTCTTGTGAAAGCACTGTCATCTTTTAGTAGCAAAATTTTGATACCTTTCTTGTGGAAAAATCAGTATCTACCATATCTTGGAAACAATGTAATTATAATGTGGCATGTATGTGCGCGTATGTGTGTGAGGATGGTTCAGTAGTTTATGCCAGCAATCTTTGCTTGAATGTTTAAAGATGCCTTCAATGTGATGCTGGCTGATAGATTGCAGTTTAAAAATGTTATTTACAGTGTGAATTTGGATAACTAACATTCCATGATGTACGTTTGTTTCTGATGAGATGATTGTAGGTACACTTTTTCTCATTATCCAGTCGTCTGTAGGATATTGAGTTTTTTAAATGTGCCATTACCTATTTGGATTCTGTACTCATGTTCAAAATACAGTACAATATTTTACAACAGATTATGTTGGGGGGAAAAAAGTAGATGTGTGCTTTCAGGTCAGAAAACTTCGTATAATAGCAAAAGAGTAGCAAATTTTGGCAGTAAGACAGGATTCCATTATGTATATAACAAAGATTTAATGCATTTATAATGGGTTGTGTAGTTCATTTTCTCTTCCTTCTCCATGCTACACTGTTTTAAATCTCAGTGCTATCAAATTCCTTATGAGATTCATTTTTAAATCTATGAAATGTAATTGGTAATACAGAGGAAGAACATAATTTGTATAATATACAATCATACTATAATCAAAACTGGACAAAGACATATCTGAATTGTGTGTATGTCATTTCAGTGCTGTAAGTGTGAAAATAGGAATTCTAAATATTTTGTATTTTAAAAACAAGGAAGTAATTTTTGAGTTGATAAATCCATATGTTTAAATACTTTTACCAGTTTCATGGGGGAAAAAGTTAGTTACTAAAAAATTCCGCAGTGGTAAAATATACCATAAGTCTTGTGAGAAGGGAATTTATCTCAAAGGCACAAAATGTGAATTACACAGGAAAGCTATACAGTTACTATGTTTCATTGTAATTTTGGTGAACTAGATAAAACCTCATTGGTTACAATATCATTCTCTTTCCTAAACACTAAGGCATTTTTTATCTTATTTATGCAAGTGATTTTTTTTAATAAAACTGTTGTGCCTGTAAAATAAGTCTACATAGGTGTGAGAAGACATGTAAGCATTTAACGAATGGGGTTGGGAAAAGAACCATAATAAACATGTCTGTGTTCAGCAAATAGAGAAAACCGTTATTAGTTGTACAACCATGAATTCCGTTTTGATACATGTGTCACACTACTTCTGTACTTATCATTTCAAGTCTTTACATTTTAACATTTCACAAACTGTACTGTTTTCTTTTATGTGCAATTTGCATGAGTAAATCATCAGAGAATAATCTTTAAATTATGTTCCTATTTTAATGAAATGACAACTGTTCTAAAAAGGTAGTGGTGTACTCAGACTTCTTTCTCCAGGGTTTTTTTCTCTAATGGTTGTTAGCATTTATGTGGAACTCACCACTAAAGTGTCAGTGTAACATTAGATAAACATAGAAGAACATCCCTGTCTTCTAGAGAAGGAGTCAAATTCCATTCCTCTACCCTTGGATTCAAACTACTTTGTTTAGAGGAATTATTCTTCCATCATTAGTTCCAGGAGCGGAAGATGGACATCAGAAAGGAGTCTTGCAACATGACCCGTAGGTCACTGATGTGGTTCAACCTGATTTCTGTTGGCAGTGAGTTCCATAGCAGAGTTTAATTTTTTTTTGTCTCTCAGCTAATAATCTGTAAAGTTACAAAAGTAATGTAAATCTACAGCTAACTCATATAATCCCTTAATAAATACAGTAAGTATGTAGAAAATAGAGGTGGGCAAATACTACAAAAATTATGAGCATTCAAATTTAAAAATAAAATGTTCCCCTTTTGTTTGCTTTTTCTGAAGATTTGGGTTGATTAAGTTTTATTCTCATAAATGTTTGTGGAAAGCTTATTACAAGTTTACATGCTCACACTGAAAGTGGTGCATTCTGTATGGGTCACCCCTTAAAGTATAGAGCAGGGATCTGTAAGCTTTGTCCCACGGCCCGCCAGGGTAAGTCCCCTGGTGGGCCGGGCTGGGCCGGTTTGTTTACCTGCTGCATGCGCAGGTTCAGCCAATCGCAGCTCCCACTGGCCGTGGTTCGCCTCTCCAGGCCAATGGGGGCCTTGGGAAGCGGCAGCCAGCACATCCCTTGGCCTGCGGGCTGCGTGCCAAAGGTTGATGATCCCTGGTATAGAGATATGGTTCCCAAAATCTCTCCACAGAGCGCTGATACAGAGGCAGAAAAAAAAAGCAGACAGGAACCTGACTGCATCCTTTGAAGCTAGATTTGCGCACGCAATTATTTTGTGTAAATGTGATGAGAAAATTCAATTTAAATTCTGCATGCAGTCATTCATTCTTACAGAAGTTTAATATAGGAAAATTGCTTCAAACAAGGGCTACATGATAAAGAAAGAGAAATGTAACATTTTACTATTCTTGCTTTTCTCCCAGAGACATTCAGATACCCTTTTGCTTCATCAAACTCCCTTCCTGATTATAGGAATTATAGTCACCACCTCAGGAAAGAGAAACAATACCATGAGTTTTATGTGAAAAATCACTACTCACCACCATTATTCAAATATTGAGTGCAGGGTCAGACCTAAGTAAATAATTGACTGTGTGTGTATGTGGTTCTGGGGCCAAACTGTGTGGGGGAGTTTGGTTTGAACTGAAACTGGATTTATTTGTTTTTTCTTGCAGGAACAAAAAACTCGAAAACATTTCATTCAACCCAAAACAAAATTTGTTCAAACCCAAAACTGTTTCATAATTAGCTAAATTCCTTTACAAAATGGATTTTGAAATGTCAAGTTTCATTTCAAAATGGTTCAAACACAGTTTTAACATTCAGTGTCAAAATGGCTGAAAGTTTAGACATTTTAAAATTTATTTTCCATTTATTTTTCAGCTGTTGATTTTCAGTAAGTCTTGGTACCCCAAGGAAGCTCTAGAAGACAGGAAGAAAGTTAATGTGCCAATATTTAAAAAGGGTGAACAGGATGACCCAGGTAATTATAGGCCTGTCAGCCTGACATCAATCTCAGGCAAGATGATGGAGCGGCTGATACAAGACTTCACTGATAAAGAATTAAAGAAGGATAATATAATTAATGCCAATAAACATGGGTTTATGTCAAACTAACTTGATACCTTTTTTTAATGAGATTACAAGTTTGGCTGCTAAGGGAATAGTGTTGATGTAATATACTTAGACTTCTATAAGGCATTGACGAGAATAATATAAAATGAACATGGCACACATTAAATAGATTAAAAGTTGGCTAACTGATAGGTTTCGAAATGTAATTGTAAATGGAGAATTATCAAATGATTGTTTCCAGTGAGGTCCCACAGGGATCAGTTTGTGGTTCTACGCTATTTAACATTTTTATCAATGGCCTGGAAGGAAACATAGTCATCATTGATAAAATTTTCAGTTAGGAGTGGTAAATAATGAAGAGGACAGGTCATGGATACACAGAGAGATCTGGATCACTCGCTGTGTGGCTAACGATAAATTATACTTCTAGGAACAAAGAATATAGGCCATACTTACAGGACAGGAGACTATCCTGAGAAGCAGTGATTCTGAAAAAGATCTGGGGATCGTGATCAATAATGAGCTGAACACCAGCTCCCAGTGTAATGCTGTGGCCAAAAGGGCTAATGCAGTCCTTGGAGCAGAGAGGTAATTTTATCTCAGCAGCAGTTGCACCAGTGCAAAATACAAAAATACTGTGTCCAGTTTTGTGTCCACAATTCAAGAAGGCTGTTGATCAATTGGAAAGGGTTCAGAGAAGAGCCACAAGAATGACTAAGTCATTATGCAAGGTAACCTATTTCCCCTTTTTTTTCCCTACCCCTCCCCCCCTCCCCCCGACGTTCTTGTTAAACCCTGGATTTGTGCTGGAAATGGCCCACCTTGATTATCATACACATTGTAAGGAGAGTGGTCACTTTAGATAAGCTATTACCAGCAGGAGAGTGGGGTGGGAGGAGGTATTTTTTCATGCTTTGTGTGTATAAAAAGATCTTCTACACTTTCCACAGTATGCATCCGATGAAGTGAGCTGTAGCTCACGAAAGCTTATGCTCAGATAAATTGGTTAGTCTCTAAGGTGTCACAAGTACTCCTTTTCTTCTTGCGAATACAGACTAACACGGCTGTTACTCTGAAGAATGATTAAAGGATTAGAAAACCTGCCTTACAGTGATAGATTCAGAGTTCAATCTTTTCAGCTTAACAGAGAGAAGGTAAAGGAAGTACTTGAGTAGTCTATAACAGAGATGGGCAAACTACAGCCCACGGGCTACATCCAGCCCATAGGACCCTCCTGCCCAGCCCCTGAGCTCCTGGCCCAGGAGGCTAGCCCCCGGCCCCTCCCCTGCTGTTCCCCCTCCCCTGCAGCCTCAGCTCACTGCGCTGCTGGCACAATGCTCTGGGCAGTGGGGCTACAGATCCGCAGCCTGACCCGGTGCTCTGTGCTGTGCAGTGGTGTGGCTGGCTCTGCCGGTTCTGGTGCTGTAGCGCCGCCAGCCATCTGTGCTCCAGGCAGTGCGGTAAGGGGGCAGGGAGTGGGGGGGTTGGATAGAGGGCAGGGGAGTTTGGGGTGGTGATCAGGGGGTGGGGGTGTGGATAGGCTTTGGGGCGGTCAGAGGGTGGGAAATGGGGGTTGAATGGGGGGCAGGGGTCCCAGCAGGAAGGAGAGGGGGTTGGATGGAGCAGCAGGGAGCAGTCAGGGGCGAGAAATGGGGGGGGGGGTCAGATATGGAGTGGGGGCTGGGCCATGCCTGGCTGTTTGGGGAGGCAGAGCCTCCCATAACTGGCCATACAATTTCGGAAACCTGATGTGGCCTTCAGGCCAAAAAGTTTGCCCGCCCCTTGTCTATAAGTACTTACCCAGGGAGCCAATATTTAATAATGGTCTCTTAAATCTAGCAGAGAAAGATATAACACAATCCAATGGCTGGAAGTTGAAGCTAGACCAATTCAGACTGGAAGTAAGGTATACATTTTTAACTGAGAATAATTAACCATCGGAACAGTTTACCAAGGGTCATAATGAATTCATTATCACTAGCAATTTTTGAATCACGATGGGATATTTTCTAAAAGATATACTGTAGGGATTACATTGGGGAAGTTCTTTGGGCTACGTTACACAGGAGACTAGATGATCACAATGGGCCCCTTCTAGCGTTGGAATCTATGAATCTGTTAAGCTATTTGCTGAATTTGATCTGAATTTGTGAATAGTTTCCCCCCAATTTATTGGCAAATTTACTATTTGCCCCCCAAAAATTTCCAATCCGAGGCTATGTCTTCACTTCACCGAGATAACTGTCTCTGGTTAGTTGTTATTGCAATGTAGAATCCTAATGGAGATGAGTGATGGATAGCTTGTATCTTGATGTAGTGAGTTGATGTAAATGAGTGGGAGGTATAGAGTTGATTTCAACTACCTGTATCTTGTATCCACTATGATTTTACGTCTTGATGTAAAAAAGACACCTCTTTTGCAGTGAAGACATAGCGTACTGTTCACAGCAAAACTGTTTCTAGTCAATCTAGTGTAATAAAAGAAAAAGTCAATAAAAATATCAGTTTTTTTTTAAGAAAATGATCTGGCTACAAACTCGTCATAACCATGGAGTAAACGATTCATTCAGATCTAGTGAATACTTGTTGGCCCACTGCAGAATATCTCGGACAAATTGTACTCATAGAATCATAGAATATCAGCGTTGGAAGGGACCTCAGGAGGCCATCTAGTCCAACCCCCTGCTCAAAGCAGGACCAATCTCCAACTAAATCATTCCAGCCAGGGCTAATCAGTACTCTGATTTCTAATCCTCTTGTCATCTTGCTTCTTCATGCCCCTAGCCCCTTGTTATTTTCCCTCTTGTTGCTGCTCTTTGAAGTTAATAGCTTAGTAATAGGACTGTCACATCAGAGGTAAATAGGTTTTGGCTCCTTCCTTGATCCCACTTCTCGGTTCATTTGCACATGGCAGTCTTGCTGGTTAAAATATCTTAAAATCTATCCCTTTTAAACTAAAAACCAAACCTTTCTACTTAGCTATTTTCATGGTATCACACGTTTACTGCCTGCAGAAAACTGATTAAAATGGCATTTTATGTATCCAGGTTAGATCCAAACTCTAGAATTAATTTGCTATAGACAGACAAAAGTACACTGACAATAGAACTTGCTACAGTGACAAGGCAAAAATACACTTTAATAAATTGGTTCCTCTAGATAACATTACATTTAAATACAGTGAGTCCTCATAGATACCAATAAAATGTGATGTTAAATTAAGCTGAACAAGATTTTAGATAACTCTTTGATATATTTTTCATACACTGGAGGAAATGGACCTATTTTGGGAAACTGGAGTTTGTCTGTGTATAGCTATATCTCTTGTAATATGCTATCTGCTTGTCTCTCACTAGTGAAATGATTAGCAGTAAAGAGATTTGTTTTGTAGTATTGTAAATGTTACTTGTTTGTATTATCTGTGAAAATTCTTACTGTGTGTTGCATTATTGCCTGTGTCAGTAATTGTGAATGCACTAATATATACTGGCAGTTAGCATTTTAACCATTGTTTCATGTAACTGCACAGAACAGGCCTGGACTGCACTACTGATGGTCACAGGAATCTTATCTACACTAGTATGATGGGAAATGTTTAAGAAAAATGTAATACAAAACAAAAAGAGTTCAGTTGTCTTCCTGACTTTTTGGGTCCTGACAACTGCTGCACTTGAGGGCAGGAATGCAGGAGGCATCTCACTTCAGAGACATTGTCCCATTTGTTGATGTTTTGTTATTAAAATGGCGACTGTG